TAGAGTAGCCAACAGTGATCAAGTTGAACTTCACCCACGTATCTGAATCTCTGCTCTTAAGACTATATTGCTCCAAACATCCCCCCCTGATGGATGAGCAATCAGTCTAAAAGGCCTGAAAGCACTGGTATAAAACTTACCTGATGCCTATCGATATCTATATGAGAGAATGTCTGTTTGTCCCTCTGACCAAGGTTGGAGGTCAGACGCTCGGGGCTTCCCTCACTAAACTTTGCATGATGAGAGGTGACTGGTTGGGGAGTGTCAAGCGGGTAGTTGGGGTCGACACTCTGCCCCTCCGTAAGTAGGATTGGGTCCTCTTGCGACAATCAGGCTAATGAAGTCTGAAATGTAGGTTTATTTGTCCATTCGGTGTTATGAAACCAATGTTTCAGCGATCATCGGTTCATTTAAGGTCGATAATCTTCAACGTTTCTCAACCACATTTTGCCCACTAAGGGGAATGAATGGAGGGTTGTGAGAGAACGAGGGATGAAGGGAGAGAGATCAGGAGGTAGGTAGAGAGAATGAGAGGAAGGGAGAATAGGAGTAAGGGTAAATGAGAATAAGTGACCATGGGAGTGAGCAAAGGAGGGAATATGGATGGGTGGGAGAGGAAGGATAGAAGAAGGAAGAATGTGAGGGAGAGCGACAGAGAAGAAGAGGAAGAGAGAGACAGACAGACAGAGACCCGAGTAACCCCCGTCTACCCCCACCTATCTACACAAGAGTCAGTCTATCTGTTCTTCTGTCGAGGGTTGTAAGCCAGACGCTTGTGGCCAGTCTCACACAACATGCATGGTGAGTGGTGACTTATGTAGTCTCAGAGGGTGGTCGGGGTCGACCCCTTCCCACCCTTGTAGGGGGGTTAGGCCTCTGCACCTCTTCATGAAGTCACTGGATACGAAATGCGCAAGCAAAGGTTCGACAATACTGCATGATGACGGTAACCATAAGACAACCTTATGATTACCGTGATGTAGATAGTGAGTGTAGTGAATAGTGTTACAGTGATAGGGGGTGTGTGAGGGTGGAGACAGGGAGGGTGAAGATGTGTATAGTGATAATAACTGGGTTGTGAAAATGGTTTCAGTGATGAGGCGAGATGGGGGATAGTGTGTGAGGGGAAGGAGGGGGGGGGGGGGGGGAGAGGTAAATTTTGGTAAAGATGGCGAGGGTGCATGTGTGTGGGGGGGGGGGGGGAGGGGAGATGGTTTGTGGGGGAGGGATGACCTGGGAGTGAGGTGGGAGAGGCCTGGACTGGTTGTCCACCAGTGTGACAAAGTCAGTGCCAGGATCAGACTGGGCTGCCGTTACGTGTGGCAGACGGCTGAAGTGACAAATCTCCCAGCCCTGAGCACTGCAGGGAAGGCAAGCTCTATGAACGGGAACCGAGTCATGATTTACCACACTGCATTACTAAAATGTTTAGTTATTAGAGCCTTCTGAGCTGCTATTATGAGGTACCTGGAGTTTTGCACAATTACTCACTCACGTGTTCTTGAAGATGACCTCATCATCCAGTAGCGAATGCAGGCTACAGATCCCGTGCACCAGTATGGATAATAATGCAGGCGATGAGTCACAATAACGTGGCTGAAGTATGTTGACCAGACCACACACTAGAAGGTGAAGGAACGACGACGTTTCGGTCCACAATCGTCTTGAGAATGGTCCAGGACGGACCGAAACGTCGTCGTCCCTTCACCTTCTAGTGTGTAGTCTGGTCAAAATGGCTAATAATCCTGCGAGGTGGAGACTTTGAGCATCAAGAAGCAAGCTCTTGTCGTAAACTCTTTAACCCATATATAGTCTAGGGAAGTTACCTTGAGAAGGTTACCTTGTTACCTTGGGAAGCTGCACCATCAAGATGTACTCAAGTTTATAAATTCCAAATATAAAAACTTATCTCGCAGAGCATCACCTTCAAGAAGACAGAGTAAAGAGGTCATGAGACATCACACGACCACTTCCAAGAATCCCAGGGTCACCCCTTTGTTGGGGACTCCTGTCGACTTTCCAAAGAGTTCCTTGAGCTCTTGAGAACCTTCCACAACGTGAAGAAAGAAGCGGAAGACTGTGTCACGGAGGCCCACGTGCGGGTCTGAAGTGGTAATATACAAGTGCCAGTCATTAAAGTGGAAATATTCAAGTGCCAGTCACTAAAGTACAAATATACAAGTGCCAGTCATTAAAGTGGAAATATACAAGTGCCAGTCATTAAAGTGGAAATATACAAGTGCCAGTCATTAAAGTGGAAATATACAAGTGCCAGTCATTAAAGTGGAAATATACAAGTGCCAGTCATTAAAGTGGAAATATACAAGTGCCAGTCATTAAAGTGGAAATATACAAGTGCCAGTCATTAAAGTGGAAATATACAAGTGCCAGTCATTAAAGTGGAAATATACAAGTGCCAGTCATTAAAGTGGAAATATACAAGTGCCAGTCATTAAAGTGGAAATATACAAGTGCCAGTCACTAAAGTGGAAACATACAAGTGCCAGTCATTAAAGTGGAAAAATACAAGTTCCAGCCACTCTGGTTTTCGATTCCCAATGCAATGAGCAAATATATTCCCCTCGTAATTCGTGAAGTGTAAAAAATAATCCCATTCATTCAGTATCGCCTGATAGCTGGGTGGACAGCGCCTCGGATTCATAGTCCTGAGGCTCCGTTGTGAAGGCTGGAGAGGCCGCGCTGGTTCCTGGTGGCCATGTAGGGTACATGTAGAGATGTGATGTCTTCCAGTAAGAGCAATATTAACAAGGACTACAATATAACTATCCTGATGCGATCTTTAAATAGTTTAACTCAGGCATTAAAATGCTGAGGTTGTGCTGAACTCTATAACTTGATGGCATAATAAGTTTATGTTAGTTGTCCATCAAGTTGCATTTTCACCATCTGATGCTAAATTAACATAAAATAAAACTATATATGTTAATTGTTAAGGTATATATATATATTTAATTGCCACTTTTTAAGCCATCATATTAGGGGCTAAACCAAAGTCAAGTTACTCCAGAAGAGATCCAAGAGGTTGTCAACAATTTACACCAGTTGGGCAAAAAGTTGAGAAACTGAGTCACATAATTCAGAATCTCAAGAATTGGGATGAAATGTGATGAATAGAGAATAGCTGACTGACGTCCACAAGACTGTCAACACCAACGGGAAGATCTCAGCCAGGTAACGGGAGGTAACGGTCAGAAATGAGTTCAAACAATAAAGAAGCAGAGAATAATATGGATTAGTGTTCCTGCGTCTCAGAGCCCCACAGACCAGCTCACCAGATCTAAGGTTAAGGGACCCTAAATTGGCCAGCCAGGGAATTGGGGAGGATAGGTTGGCCCCTCACCAGGCTGGCCCCGACCACGTGAGGGGATCATGAGGGGACAATAAGGGGACCATGGCGTCACTGGTAACAGATATACCGCCTCAGAGGTCTTATAACAGCTTGACAAATGGTCCTCCAACTATCCATAACGCATCTTGAACAAGATCAGAATTTTCCAATTCTATTTCCATTTCATTTCCATTTCTATCTACTTCGCTCTGATGATTCTGCATCACCTCTCTTCCTCTTCTTAACCTGCCCCATTGACCCTTCCCCTGCCCCTGTGACGAGCCTCCACACCACTTCCTCAACAACACAGGTATTTAAGCTAGAGAGAAGAGAACTATCAGGAGAAAGCGCCAAGCCATTACGACAATATAGCCCTTGGAAGGGATCAGGATAAGGATTTGACCCAGTCTGCCACAGGAAAATCTATATAGCCAGCTCGCGCCCCTGTTCCACATCTCTCCCCTTCCTGCACCCGTCCCCCGTCCCTAACCCCCACCCCCACCCCCCACTACCCTTCCACAAGCCCACCGGTCACCTGTACACTTCCACACCTAGCCAGACACATCCCTCCTATTCCATCCCTATTCTCTGAATTCCACTCTTCAAATCGTGTCTCCTTTCGTTTCCTTTCCACCTCATTCCCCTCACCACACCTGAGGAAATAACAGAGGAGACATGATCACAACATTCATGACACTTGGAAGGGAATGGAACTATTAGGGGAAAACGCTAAGCCATTACGACTATACAACCCTTGGAAGTGGTCGGAATAAAGATTTTGGACGGGACGGAGGGATGGAATGACACTTGGAAGTATTTACAAAGGTGATGAGAGTAAGATACAGAGGAATGTGAGGATGCGAATGACAGCTTCGAGATAATGATGAGAAACAGATATTTCTTCAGTGTCAGGGCGGTAGAGCTACGGTCTCGCTTCAAGCAGGTCGGCGTTCAGTCCCCGATCGTCCAAGTGGTTGGGGCCACCATTCCCTCCCGCCCGTCCCATCCCAAATCCTTATCCTGACCCCTTCCCAGTGCTATATAGTCGTCCTGGCTTGGCGCTTTCCACTGATAATTCGTTCCTTCCTTCAGTACCAAGGCAGTGCGCGCGCGCGCGCGCACACACACACACACACACACACACACACACACACACACACACACACACACACACACACACACACACACACACACACACACGATAAAATGAACAGACTAAACACAGCTGAAGAACGTCAGGGCAGCTGTCTGTGACCAGCACAAAAATCTACTTTCAGTGAACTTTATACTAATATAAAGCAAGAAGTAGAATCAGTTGAAAAGTGAATAAAAAATCCAATCATATACTAATGGATGAAGATATATGAAGTTATTTTAGCTATTAAGGAATAATATATGAAGGATTAGAGAAAACAGGAAGAGACATCAAAGATCAAAGGCTCTACGTAAACAAAGATGAAAGCAAACTTTAATCTTGGCATTGCTTCACATTAACATCAAAAGCAAGGAATAAACTGACCAGGACAGCGACGAAAAACATGATACATAGAAAGAAATGAGGAATGATAATGAGGGAATATGAGAGAGTGAGACGAGGAAAGTGTCGGATGGGTGAGCGGAGGGTGACAGGTTAATGACCTCTGACAAGGTGTTACAAGCACTGGTTCTGTGTAATCTTGAGATGTTGCTGTAATGTCTTGGGATGGTGCTGTAATGTTTTGGGATGGTGCTGTAATGTCTTGGGATGGTGCTGTAATGTCTTGGGATGTTGCTGTAACGTCTTGGGATGGTGCTGTAATGTTTTGGGATGTTGCTGCAACGTCTTGGGATGGTGCTGTAACGTCTTGGGATGTTGCTGTAACGTCTTGGGATGTTGCTGGAACGTCTTGGGATGTTGCTGTAACGTCTTGGGATGTTGCTGTAACGTATTGGGATGTTGCTGTAACGTCTTGGGATGTTGCTGTAACGTCTTGGGATGTTGCTGTAACGTCTTGGGATGTTGCTGTAACGTATTGGGATGTTGCTGTAACGTCTTGGGATGTTGCTGTAACGTCTTGGGATGTTGCTGTAACGTCTTGGGATGTTGCTGTAACGTCTTGGGATGTTGCTGTAATGTTTTGGGATGTTGCTGTAACGTCTTGGGATGTTGCTGTAATGTTTTGGGATGTTGCTGTAATATCCTGGGAGGTAATTCGTGAAGTGTAAAAAATAATCCCATTCATTCAGTATCGCCTGATAGCTGGGTGGACAGCGCCTCGGATTCATAGTCCTGAGGCTCCGTTGTGAAGGCTGGAGAGGCCGCGCTGGTTCCTGGTGGCCATGTAGGGTACATGTAGAGATGTGATGTCTTCCAGTAAGAGCAATATTACAAGGACTACAATATAACTATCCTGATGCGATCTTTAAATAGTTTAACTCAGGCATTAAAATGCTGAGGTTGTGCTGAACTCTATAACTTGATGGCATAATAAGTTTATGTTAGTTGTCCATCAAGTTGCATTTTCACCATCTGATGCTAAATTAACATAAAATAAAACTATATATGTTAATTGTTAAGGTATATATATATATTTAATTGCCACTTTTTAAGCCATCATATTAGGGGCTAACCAAAGTCAAGTTACTCCAGAAGAGATCCAAGAGGTTGTCAACAATTTACACCAGTTGGGCAAAAAGTTGAGAAACTGAGTCACATAATTCAGAATCTCAAGAATTGGGATGAAATGTGATGAATAGAGAATAGCTGACTGACGTCCACAAGACTGTCAACACCAACGGGAAGATCTCAGCCAGGTAACGGGAGGTAACGGTCAGAAATGAGTTCAAACAATAAAGAAGCAGAGAATAATATGGATTAGTGTTCCTGCGTCTCAGAGCCCCACAGACCAGCTCACCAGATCTAAGGTTAAGGGACCCTAAATTGGCCAGCCAGGGAATTGGGGAGGATAGGTTGGCCCCTCACCCAGGCTGGCCCCGACCACGTGAGGGGATCATGAGGGGACAATAAGGGGACCATGGCGTCACTGGTAACAGATATACCGCCTCAGAGGTCTTATAACAGCTTGACAAATGGTCCTCCAACTATCCATAACGCATCTTGAACAAGATCAGAATTTTCCAATTCTATTTCCATTTCATTTCCATTTCTATCTACTTCGCTCTGATGATTCTGCATCACCTCTCTTCCTCTTCTTAACCTGCCCCATTGACCCTTCCCCTGCCCCTGTGACGAGCCTCCACACCACTTCCTCAACAACACAGGTATTTAAGCTAGAGAGAAGAGAACTATCAGGAGAAAGCGCCAAGCCATTACGACAATATAGCCCTTGGAAGGGATCAGGATAAGGATTTGACCCAGTCTGCCACAGGAAAATCTATATAGCCAGCTCGCGCCCCTGTTCCACATCTCTCCCCTTCCTGCACCCGTCCCCCGTCCCTAACCCCCACCCCCCACCCCCCACTACCCTTCCACAAGCCCACCGGTCACCTGTACACTTCCACACCTAGCCAGACACATCCCTCCTATTCCATCCCTATTCTCTGAATTCCACTCTTCAAATCGTGTCTCCTTTCGTTTCCTTTCCACCTCATTCCCCTCACCACACCTGAGGAAATAACAGAGGAGACATGATCACAACATTCATGACACTTGGAAGGGAATGGAACTATTAGGGGAAAACGCTAAGCCATTACGACTATACAACCCTTGGAAGTGGTCGGAATAAAGATTTTGGACGGGACGGAGGGATGGAATGACACTTGGAAGTATTTACAAAGGTGATGAGAGTAAGATACAGAGGAATGTGAGGATGCGAATGACAGCTTCGAGATAATGATGAGAAACAGATATTTCTTCAGTGTCAGGGCGGTAGAGCTACGGTCTCGCTTCAAGCAGGTCGGCGTTCAGTCCCCGATCGTCCAAGTGGTTGGGGCCACCATTCCCTCCCGCCCGTCCCATCCCAAATCCTTATCCTGACCCCTTCCCAGTGCTATATAGTCGTCCTGGCTTGGCGCTTTCCACTGATAATTCGTTCCTTCCTTCAGTACCAAGGCAGTGCGCGCGCGCGCGCGCACACACACACACACACACACACACACACACACACACACACACACACACACACACACACACACACACACACACACACACACGATAAAATGAACAGACTAAACACAGCTGAAGAACGTCAGGGCAGCTGTCTGTGACCAGCACAAAAATCTACTTTCAGTGAACTTTATACTAATATAAAGCAAGAAGTAGAATCAGTTGAAAAGTGAATAAAAAATCCAATCATATACTAATGGATGAAGATATATGAAGTTATTTTAGCTATTAAGGAATAATATATGAAGGATTAGAGAAAACAGGAAGAGACATCAAAGATCAAAGGCTCTACGTAAACAAAGATGAAAGCAAACTTTAATCTTGGCATTGCTTCACATTAACATCAAAAGCAAGGAATAACTGACCAGGACAGCGACGAAAAACATGATACATAGAAAGAAATGAGGAATGATAATGAGGAATATGAGAGAGTGAGACGAGGAAAGTGTCGGATGGGTGAGCGGAGGGTGACAGGTTAATGACCTCTGACAAGGTGTTACAAGCACTGGTTCTGTGTAACGTCTTGAGATGTTGCTGTAATGTCTTGGGATGGTGCTGTAATGTTTTGGGATGGTGCTGTAATGTCTTGGGATGGTGCTGTAATGTCTTGGGATGTTGCTGTAACGTCTTGGGATGGTGCTGTAATGTTTTGGGATGTTGCTGCAACGTCTTGGGATGGTGCTGTAACGTCTTGGGATGTTGCTGTAACGTCTTGGGATGTTGCTGGAACGTCTTGGGATGTTGCTGTAACGTCTTGGGATGTTGCTGTAACGTATTGGGATGTTGCTGTAACGTCTTGGGATGTTGCTGTAACGTCTTGGGATGTTGCTGTAACGTCTTGGGATGTTGCTGTAACGTATTGGGATGTTGCTGTAACGTCTTGGGATGTTGCTGTAACGTCTTGGGATGTTGCTGTAACGTCTTGGGATGTTGCTGTAACGTCTTGGGATGTTGCTGTAATGTTTTGGGATGTTGCTGTAACGTCTTGGGATGTTGCTGTAATGTTTTGGGATGTTGCTGTAATATCCTGGGAGGCGGCGAGGAGTGATACAGCAACCTACGAAGCCTCGGTGGAGGTAGCAAGTATTGTATCACCATATTTTATTCGCCTAAAGTCAGCAATGAACAAAAAATGTAGGCAAAGTGTCTTCAACTGTCGCTGGATATATGGATATGGGACAGGTTCGACCCTTATCAGTCGAATTAGAACACTGTGAAAGAACAAATAGTTATGAACCAAGAACCGAACACCTCGCCAGAGTCACTGACCAGAGTTCGAACACGGAAGGCCGACCGAACACCTTTCCTTAACTAACCGTTAACTCAGCAGCAGTTGGAAACCTGATTTGAAATCGATTTCCGCGAGTCAGGAAAAAATAGTCGGGGAAAGGTCTAAGATGAGCTGTGGGAAGGGCGCAGTCAGTCCTCCCATGATCTCTAACGTCAAGACACTGGGATACTATAGTGCCCCCTTATCCTAAACCTACCAGAGGAACCAAAACAGAAAACGGGACAGTATGTTAATTTCACGACCGGCCACCATTTTCAAGTAAGTAGATTTTCGGCCTTAGGTAGAGTGTACGTCAAAATACGACGTGCTACTGGGAGGACGGGCTGCACACGGTGAGCTTCGGCCTCACAAAAGTGGGGTCTACGGTTGGAATCTCCTAGAGCCCAAGTGAATGAATGGTAGGAGTCACAAGAATGGAAAGGGGGGTAGGGGGCTGGCGGGAACTATCAGAGGGAAAGCGCCAAGCCATTATGGCTATATAGCACTTGGAAGGGGTCAGGATATGGATCTGGGATGGGACGGGCGGAAGGAATGGTATTCAACCACTTGTACGGTCGGGGATTGAACGCCGACCTGCATGAAGCGAGACCGTCGCTCTACCGTCCAGCCCAAGTGGTTGGGGGGATTGCCGGCTGAGTAGACAGCCGGCAATCCTCTACCTTCATATATATATGTATATATATATATATATATATATATATATATATATATATATATATATATATATATATATATATATATATATATATATATATATATATATATACATATAAAGTGATCACAATGTATTGGTTCATTTTCAATATCTCAAAACTATATTTACACAAAGAGTAGAGAGAGCTCCCGGGCGGTGGAGTGGGAGCGCCCTAACAATGAACTACGGTGAAGTGAGACACACAGTAGCCACCAACTATTGTAGTGAAGGAGCTCAGGTGACACAGTCAGCTGCCAAGATCCAACTGTGGACTCTCCAGACGAGTCCCGAGGGCAGGAGAGTCATTACTCACCAGAGTAATTAAATCAAGTTTACGGAATGCTAACCGTATTAATGTATGCACAAGCGGCTCCGTTGTTGCCACTTCCCGTGTCAAAGGATTGCGATATAATGAAATCCTTAATGAAGTCCTTACCCACCAGGACTCTGGTGGGTAAGGACTCTTCTTCTTACCTCGGGACTCGCCTGGAGAGTTCACAGCATCTTTGTTATATTTGAAGTACATATAACCGGGAAAGAAAGACCAGGAGTCAGTACATTAAACAACCAACAGCCAAAAAGGCGGGGCCCAAGAGCTACCCATAATCTAATCTCCAACAGCAATTCGAGAGATCTTGAAAATATTTTCGGATGCCGCCAGCATTAAACTCCTCAACAGTCTCAACGTTGTCAGGAAATATATTTGGGAAGCCTCGGTCTTCCAGACGACTGTCACCCCATCACCTCCACTGACGACTTGGCCAGCTGGATACGAACCAAGGAATCCTGCTCTGAAGGTAAGATTACTTCTATTCAAGTTTTAAAGTGTTTTATCATTTCCATCATTTTTTTTTTTTGAGATATATACAAGAGTTGTTACATTCTTGTAGAGCCACTAGTACGCGTAGCGTTTCGGGCAAGTCCCTGGAATACGATCCCCGCCGCGAAGAATTGTTTTTACAACCAAGTACACATTTTACTGTTGCGATAAACAGAGGCTACAGTTAAGGATTTGCGCCCAGTAAATCCTCCCCGGCCAGGATACGAACCCATGACAAAGCGCTCGCGGAACGCCAGGCGAGTGTCTTACCACTACACCACGGAGACTGTAGAATAATATTCTAGCGAGGATGCAGGTTCTGTTATTTAACGATAAATGCAGAATTTACATAAAATTTCCAATCAACTAAAAAAAATATATAATTTTCTGAAATATATTCAATAATTTTTTGGACGATTAAACATTGAATATTGCAATTAAGAGTAAAAAAAGTAGCATTCGCTGGAGCCTAATGTTAAGAAATTGCAAGCTGTTTCATGCATATGGCTGCACGTATTGCTCCCGTGCAAGGACTGCACCACGCGAATTGTTTTGGTAGACACGCCACGAATGATGTTCGGGGCGCACGTCTGTAAGACGGAGTCTCTGAAATTTCCTTGTAAACCTTTCCATGATTTCATTATATCGCAATCCTTTGACACGGGACGTGGCAACAACGGAGCCGCTTGTGCATACATTATTACGTTTAGCACTCCGTAAACAAATTAAATAATTTAGAAATGTTTACATTTATAAACATATTAAACATGATCAACATCAACAAACGGGAGTATTTAAACAAATCATCACATTTCACAGAAATAGATATCTAATGTAAACAGTTTTTCCTAAATTATTTCCGATGTTTCTGGGCGAACGAAGAGCTGCGGGACGGCAAAATATAGACATGTTATCTGTTCATTTTGTCATCAGTCAGGATTCCAATGGTTCTTATTTATAATTTCACGAGTGTGGGCTCCAGGAGCAGGTTCTGAATGTGTTGACCACACCACACACTAGAAGTTGAAGGGACGACGACGTTTCGGTCCGTCCTGGACCATTCTCAAGTCGATTGTGATGAGGAGGTAGAGACAGGCAATAAATAGGCAAGATTCAAGCAATAAAGCAATAAATAGACACATTTCAGGTTCTGAATGTGTCACCCTCGGCCTCCGAACTGCGCATTACGTTTGCCGGCACTGACGGAGTGACCACATCAACACACAAACATTTTAACAAAGATGTTTTAGCAAACCTTTGCATTATTGAGTTGATATAAATGTGACGATATTTCCCACGCCACACAACCGACTTTCTCCCTCCTGAGTATTTCTCGAATATTAACGCAGTTCAGAGTGTTTGTAACGAAGCGTGTTTCATATTCACTACAGCTGCAGAAACGTGATTTATTGAAATATCTAAATCCGCCGGCATACATATACATGCTCGCCTCCAGACCTCACAACCCAGAGAGAGAGAATGTATTCACCTAGTTGTACATGCGGGGGTTGAGCTCTGCTCTTTCGGCCCGCCTCTCAACTGTCAATCAACTGTTACTAACTACTAATTATTTATTTATTTATATATTTTATCTTCCTCATCTTACATATACACTACATACTTTCTTCAATATTCACTATCTTCATTATTGTAATCATCTTCCCTACTACTATCTTCCCTACTACTCACTATCTTCATCACGTGAATTTGGTTCAACGTTTCCGAATAAATCATAAAAGTGCTTAAATAATCGGCAGGAGCAACTTCATCACTCGACGAAAACTCATTCAGGATTTAATTTCAGACTCCATGAAAATCGCAGGGAGGGGGGGGTGGGGAGGGGGTTAGAGGCCAATGTTTTTTTCAAGTGTTGCACTGGAGCCAATCCCCAACTAGCCTATGTCCATCCTGTACCCCAGACCATTCATCCCGCAAAGTTTGATAAGGCTAGCCCCTAGCATCCGGCTTCCATCCTTAGACACAAAAACTTTCTCTTATAGATATAAACAGGATATAGTAACATTTTCTGAGGCTCACTGAGAGACATGGTTTATATTAACCAGAATGTCTGCTGCGTCCACATGCCCTATCTGATGCGTCTACCAGTGATGCCTTATAACTAGTGGTTGATCACCAGGCCGCCACAAAACAAGGACAATGTACCTATCAGTTATAAGCAACTCAAGAGAGACTTTATAAACGCCGCCACTACCTTCTATCCCTGACGTACACGTCCCTCTAGTGACTGCTAGAGGGACCAGTCATCTAGCAACATAAATCCAGAATATAGATCCCCAGTTATTGAAAAAGAGGGATGAATTTACTCTGAAATGTGGTTTAACCAACTTACCAAAGGGAGAATATGTTGACTCGATAACGCTGCTAACAGGAACACGTGGGACTTGTAGACCAAAACACACGATCTTAAGTGATCAGCAATAATAAAATATATATAAGGGAAAATTCACTAAAGACCAAAAACTAATTAAAATCGTTTAATTAGTTTCCTCCCACACTTCTCTCACACTTATCGTCCTTCTCCACCCCCTCTCTTCTCTTCTCTAACCTCTCCCCTTCCCTCCCCCTCTCCCTCCTCTCCACTTGTCTCCTCCCTCAATCCTTCCCTCTCATCAAACATTCCCCCTTCACATCCCTTCTCTCTCTCTCTCTCTCTCTCTCTCTCTCTCTCTCTCTCTCTCTCTCTCTCTCTCTCTCTCTCTCTCTCTCTCTCTCTCTCTATGCTTTTCTGTTTGTCTTCCTCTTCCTCTCTCTCTCTTTCTCTCTCTGGTCGACATCGTCTCTCGCTTGGTCTATCTTTTTATGTCTCTTTGTTTCTTTTCATTGACTCTCTTTCTCTCTGCCTCCCTCTGCCCATTGACGTGTAATCACCTATTTGTGCTTGCGGGGGTTGAGCTTTGGCTCTTTGGTCCCGCCTCTCAACTGTCAATCAACTGGTGTACAGATTCCTGAGCCTACTGGGCTCTATCATATCTACATTTAAAACTGTGTATGGAGTCAGCCTCCATTGCGTGTGTATATGTGTGTGTGTGTGTGTGTGTGTGTGTGTGTGTGTGTGTGTGTGTGTGTGTGTGTGTGTGTGTGTGTGTGTGTGTGTGTGTGTGTGTGTGTGCGTGTCTGTGTGTGTCTGTGTGTGTGCGTGTCTGTGTGTGTGCGTGTCTGAGTCTGTGTGTGTCTGAGTCTGTGTGTGTGTCTGAGTCTGTGTGTGTGTGTCTGAGTCTGTGTGTGTGTGTCTGAGTCTGTGTGTATGTGTCTGTGTGTGTGTAAGCAAAAGA